AAGCAGGACACTACTAAGTATTTATTTTGTTTGGCACAAAGACAATGCTTGGCATTTTACAAACAAGTAAGAAAACAAAGTCCTTGTCCCAAAGAACTGACAGTCTAAACAGACAAAATACAGATGAAGGAGAAAAGAAGAGATGTGACACACAAGCAAAGTGATCAAGGGGCTATTTTTGGCATGTGTCTTGTTAGTTCCAGAGTTGATTTTAATACAGTTGTGAAAATGTTTGGATATGTTGTAAGTTAGATATAGCACTTTATATCGCAAGAAAACTGCACAACCATTAATCATTTAAAGGATTATTTAAAGACAGCACTACAGCTCTTTTGTATCAATATGCTCACACATGTCTCTCACATATAGGCACCTCAGTGTTTGAGGAAGAAGGACGGTCAAATTAACTGCTGGCATAAACGATCTCACTCTATTGACTTCTCAATATGTTCATTTTTAAATTTGTCCCTTCATCTATCCCATTTCTTCAATCTGGCTTTTAGCCACAAATTTTCGAGGAGCACAAGATTTCAGACAGAATTCAACTGGAGCCTAAATATATTTCCAGACCATTTTACAGTATGACTGTTACACAGCTGAATATGACTGCTACAGTCCAGCTGAGACAATTAAAGAAAGGATCACGATTCAAAACTTGTTTAAGAAATGTACAACTTCTACAAAAATACAAATTGAACATCAGAAGTCTGTGAAGTGCTATTTTGCTATCAATTAAAGTGCCAGATAATGCTAGTGCTCCCACCAAAAAATTTTTTTTTTGTATTTCGTTGGGTGTATCTACAAATCACACATTTGTAAAAACAGAACTTCTGGTTGTGTTCTACTATTATGCCCCTGTTATTTCCAGTACTTTCATGTGAGACAATAAATATAAGTGTGCACTAGTTAAAGTAGAATACAGCTGTGGATTAATAAACTACCATATATATCAGTATGTGATGTGCTATGGCATGAGGTCCCAAACAGGTTGTAAACTAACTTTCTTGATCAAAGCATGGACAATGGATTATAAATTAGCTTATTCAGAGTTACTTAGCCGGTTCATGCAGAACACCATATCATGTTACCTTTTTTATTGCTAGTTAGTAAAAGCAAGTGTGTTAATGAGCTGTGACATGGTTATAATATTTATCTTTATTAATTTACTGTGTGACTACTTAGTTTATATCATTATTTCATTACCAACCAGATCACCAATGCAAGAAGCCAGAAAATTACTCACATTTGATCTCCCAAGTGAAGGAAGTCCAGAAGGGCTGTGTTCTTCATTTGTAGGATCTGGGTACCTAATTTGATCTATTCTCATGTAGGAATCATACAATCCATCTCCAAACCTGGCTGAACATGTCAAATATAGAAGCCAGTTAGTCACAACTATGTGCACTAATACAGGAAAAGACATTTGTCTCAGCTCCTAAAAATTATCTCATTTGTAATCATTCTTCAAAGTTTTTGCTAAGATAGTCAGCTTTTGCTAATTTATTGGATAAAATGCAGCAAGAGCATCATAGCTAAATATTAATGAGCTACTCAACAGTTTTATTTCTTTTAATGATCCTAAGCATTTGGAAAGCACTGTGCAAACCTTAGTTTCTGATTCTTTATTTTTTTAAAAACTAGGAGCTTCTCTTAAATTAGACTCATCTGTCATTTTTTTGCAGTGCAAAAACATCCTTAAGAACCTTTAACCTATATCCTATTTTAAGGAAAAAGAAGGATAATCCTGAACTATCTGTATTTAGAGTGGCAATGGAAAATGAGCAGGCATTTAAATACTGGATAAGACTATCCTTTAAAGTAGGTTCTCTGTAAATATGACGTGGAGGAACCAAAGTCAATAAATTCGTTGCTACTAACAATGGTTGGCAAAATAATTTTTTTTAAATGATTTCTACAGTAATAGACAAAGTTCTGTGACTGTGCTTAAAATAAAATTGGCTAAAGCAATTAACATTAAAACTCCAGAGTTTTGATCACCATCTGCACTCATAATGTCAGTGTGAGTTAGACAAAAAGTACTATTTATATCGAAATAATATGACATCCTCTCTCACTGCTATAAATACTGTCCTTCGTATACCAAAACAATGCTCTAAAAAGTTTAACTAATTGGTTTTTCATTTTAGTTCTGCTGACAAAATGCAAAACTCAGTCACTTCTCCCAAACAAGCAATCACAACTGGGAAGTTGGAAATTATATTTAAAAATTCCCAGTTACAAGTTCAAGGCAAAATGTGATCAGCTAATTTCGTCTGCCACCAGAAAACATGCTTGTTCACTGCTGTGTATGAAGAATGAACTACATTTTTTTCACAACAATGTATCACCAGCTTCTTTGTAAACTTGTGTGTTATTAGGAATGTTTTGTACAATATACTGATATACGTGAAGGGTGCTCAATAGTAAATTAATGTACATTGTATAAGTCACAGAACTGAATGCTAGAACACATATATTTACAGAATTATATAATGCAGATACTGTACAAAATAGAAAAGTGGGAAAATTGTGTTCCTTTTCTTAATCTCTGGAAACTCTCTAGCTTCCTTTAAACTTGGATTCTGAAAAACTACTCTACTCTGTGGTTACTTTAAAGGATAACAAACACTTCAAGCATTAATTGAAAACACAGTCAAGGATATAAAATAAGTTGCCAAAGGAAAAATGCCAGGAATGTTCCTTTCCTTGTGCAGAGTCTGCCCAAGTCCTGATGAAATCTGGCCTGTTTTGAGTCATTTAATCCACATTTGTTTTCCCGTAAAAACACCAGGGATACTTTAGATGGATGCTATACAGATAAAATGTGTTGTTTTAACAACCAATTGCTGTTTTTGCTGTATTCATCCTCCCCTTTTGGTTTAGCAGAGTGAAATGTACAAAGACATAACAGCTACTAAGTTACCAAAAAAAAAAAAAAGTAGGCACTAGAAA